AAWTTYMWTTTTTTTACACGTAATACCACGCGTTGGAATGCCAACGGAATACGGAATCTCAAATTCAAGTCATTAGAAAGATTTCGCACGAGAGATTCGCGTGTAATTTCACACGCTAAAATTAGCTTTGGGTCCGGTCTCCCGAAATGCCGACTGTACCGACGACCATGGCGTCCCTCGTCTTTCCTCCCCGTCCAAACCAAAGTCTATTACTGCATATCAATAAGATGCTAATGTGCGTCCGACGTCTCGTTGGAGAAGAAACGCATGGATATTTATTTGCGTTACACGCCTAACCGTCTGATACATCGGTGGATTTTTTCAACAGGAAACTCTTTCTCGGTCCTACTCAGATCCATCCGCTTYCCGGGATCGACACTTTAGAAGCGGCAAATTCGTTTGAAATACATACCTGGGCGGCGGTGACAAGAGCCACTCTCTTGGCAACAGTAGAAACAGCGGATCGAAGAACCATGGTGGAGAGTTTTTATTTGTGTAATTGTATTGGGAGCCCGTTGCTGCCATGCAGAGAGTTTACAGTCGACGGTCCTTCGCCAAGGGTCGCTGGCTACGGCGCTGCATGCGCATCGCATTCCGTAGGAACTTCCCAACGAAATCCTGTAGAACGAGGAAATCTAACGCTCCCATAAAAGTGCATCGCCTAGTAGTATTACGTACTCGTGCGTAGCAGTAGACAACAGTACATGCGCAACGTGCGTAAGCACAAAACAGCAGAAAAAAATGAAAAATGGGAGCGTGTGCCCTGCTTGCTCTCCATCCCTCAAAAGAACAATAACCCTCTCCCTAATAATATACCAGCACGATAGGACAGAAGAGGTGAAAAAATGGGAGAGCGTAAATTTAACTTGCGTACTCGTATCTTACATAYGTACTATACATAGTAMCTCATCGTAAATATCGCTTGTGACGTACGTACTGSACACGGTACTGTATGTACCGTACTTAAGCTTAGAGTCAGTTATCASTTGACACCGGAAAGACAAAACTAAAACCCAAATGCGCCYKAAGCGAGATGAGCGAATTGTTCTTTCAGAACTAAGCAAAAGTACGAGATGGCGGCGGGTTATTCCATCCATCTCGAGATGAACAGCCAACATCCGATGCTTCACAATACCAACACGTTCACGATGAAGCATGACRAATAAATCACGATGGCTAGAGTAATACTTACCCGCAATGAGAAAAATAGGAGTCTGGAACAGCATAAAGCTTTGACGCGGTGCATCGAAGGTACCATTCAGAGGGAACACGACTGCTGCTGTTCTCCCGACCATGACAACAGTTGTCAAGGCAACATTCCCCTGGAAATTATTGTAGATCACGTGACTCCCTTTTTGGATCGCACGACCTACAATTCGTTCCTTTTGCTTAGTCGCCGGGCACATAGCATTCTAACCACCCCGCGGTGGCAATCCGATCCACTTCTATCGCAGCAGGAGCAGCAACAACAATTCCCTCCCTGGCCAAGGAAAGTCGTGGCAAGGGATCACTCCTGTCGAGTTCGATGTCTTACTTTTAGCGACGATCACTCTCTCTTGGCGTGCGGGTGTTTCGACGGGAAAATCAGGTCATGGGACGTGCGAACAGGAGAGCTGCCACTGCCTTACGAAGGCCACTGGCCGGACGAGGCCGTGGTGGCTGTAGCATACAGTAGCAGCAATCGCAACCTTACGAAGTGGAATGATYGGAAAGCGAACARCCGGCGGATGCTAGCTTCTTCCTCGACCGATGGGACCATTCGCATCTGGCGTGTCCAACCAAACCCTGAAACGAGGAGGGCAGGAACCTGTGGGGATTCATGGAGCAAGGCAGAAACATACTCAAAAACAGCCGAACGGGTACAACCTTTGGCAAACGGGACCGCGTCGGTCTTCGCAAGCACTAAGAGACAAAGGACGGCAACGGTTGGAGACGAAGGWAATGAATGCGAAGGAGTAACCAAAAACTCGCCAACTTGCCTTATATGCATTGCTGCGGATCACGCATATTCGCTTCATTTTTCACCGGATAACTCCTATCTGGTCTCGGGGCACCTTCCGGTTTCCAGAACGSAGGCTACCTTGCAGCTCGGGGAAACAATACAAATTTGGGACGTCTGGACGGGGATCCGACTGAGACGGTTGGAAGGTGGCGGGGTCCCAGTAGCTTTTCTGCCGTCGCAAACGCTTCCGCGTGATCCGTCTCAATTGAATTCGCAAAAAAGCTACGATTACTGCGCAACGAACGATGATCAAAACGAAAACAAAAACGGCASTTCATCCGCATCAAGAACAGAGCACAGACTGATTTCATCGTGCGGTCCGAGCAAATGCTTCAAGCTGTGGAGTTGGAGCGACGGTACCCGATGTGACAACACCAGCAATATTGCAGCGACCGAGGGTGATACAGTGCTGGAAAACGACCGCTGCGTTCAACGATGGTTCCTGGATCCCTTCAATACGGTGGTACCCGTGCCCACGGGTGCGATGGCAACTGGGGGCGGAAACGATCGAAGCACTAAGGTTCGCTGCGAACTCCTCGTTGCGTCCATCGATGGACCCGATTCGTTTGCGATCTGGAACACAAGTGAGCCCGGGAAGCGRCGAACCTTTCGCAACACGAGCCCCTACGAAATACAGTTCTCGCCGGACGGTCGAAAGGTCGCGAGCGTTGACGATTTCAACAAGGTGAAGGTATGGCGTGTTTCCGATGGGACCCTTCTCCAAAGCTTTTCCGGAGAAACCTATTGCGAAGCAAGCGATGGCGGTTATGGCGGTTCAAGTGGATGCTCCCGCTGCTGCCGCCGCCCTTGTGGAAGGTGCAGCAGTAGCAGCAACACCGTGACGAAGGAGAACGATGGCTTCGAGGAATCCTCACCAACATCTAGTAGCGGAGRTGGCAGTGGTGGTGGTCTTTTCCCCATCCACGAACTGGCATTTTCRAAAAACTCGTCGACAGTGGCGGTGATCTCTCGCTACTACAACGAAGTGCATCTGTTTTCGGCTTAAAATTGCCGCCATTTCAAAGCGCCAACTCTGTGTTGAACAAGACTGAGGAAGGAACGAAGAATCTCGGAGKAAAGCATAGCGCTGTCAAGAAGCGCTCCCAAATTGTGTGAGTAGTAGATCCGTCGCGTTGGTGGTATCCTCGTCAGGGAGAATCAAAGTCAAAGGGGTTTCTTCTCGCCAAAGGCTATTATTTTATAGTCTTGCTAGGATAGTACTCGAAAAATCAATAACATGTCTGTACCATTAAAATTGTAACACGTCGGTTGCCTCGTTGTCACAGTATTATTTTATTGATGTGTTAGTATGAATACATTACGAGTTTACATTATGACGAAGTATGAAATACATCTAGAATTTGAACCATCTGAAGGTGGCCTGGCGACAATCGTATTGAACCCAAAAATTGTTGCAGATTGTTTTCTTCCAACGCTTGTACCTTAATGGCCAATGGACAGATTCATTTCGTTTTCTTGGCTTCGTTGGAATTGCAACTTCCCTCCTCCTAAACTTCTTTCGTGTAGACGACGGRCATTTTGTGGTTGTACTTTTCCTCCCAGGTCGTTGGATCGRCCACCGCCAGTTCCACCATGAACGCTGCCGCGTCGCTGCGAAGCGTGGAACGTCCACCAAACAGGGTCCCCTGGGGGTGATCATAGACGTCGTAGCCGAGTTTTTCTCTCCCGGTCGCCCCTTCCTCACCGATGTTGAGCAGATCGCCGGGGCGGGCGACGGACCAGTTGATCGACGGGTTTTGGTACAGATACAGGGCCGCCATTTCGTTGTCGACGTGGGGCGGGACCAGCCAGCGCAGGAGCTTCAAGACACACCGCTCGAAGAAGGTCCGCTTCGGGTCCGTTTTGCCGTCCGGGTGGGCAACCCCATCGGAGCCCATCAGGATGAAGCGGGGGCTCGGTCCACTGTCCACTGCCTTTGATGCTGCCATGCCGTTGGTCACTTTTCGGACGGTCTCTTTCACGAAGTAGCCATCCTTGTACATTCCTTTGTAGGTAAGGTTGTGGCCGAGGCAGCTGCGATGGAAAACACAAAAACGACGTGAGGCCCTTCAGACAGTTCAAATGCTATAAAKKAATCGATCAATCGGTCRACTSTTTGTTTTTCCTTACCTGATGATAACGTCGCATCCTTTGGCAATCTCTTCGAAATCGTTCGCAGTCAGCTCGGAAATGGAYGCCTCTTTAATGGCGAGATTCGGCTCCTCTTTCTCCCCACCGATRTTCAGGAGACTCTTAAGTTTCCCCTCGGATCGCACCACCGTGACTACWGATGTGTCACCSCGATCCAATAACATGCGAACGACGTTTTTGCCGGTAGCACCGGTAGCGCCAACSACAAGGACTTTTCTGATTATCGAGGTAGACACCATGTTTTTGGTAGCGTTGAGTTTCGTTGTGTTGTGTTATGTTGCGTTGCGTTTTTGTGAATCTTGGAWATGATTCGTTGTGGTTTTTGRCTGTAYCYTTTTGGAATTTGTGAGCACTTCTGAAAAGACAGTTTTGTCGGCGAGGAAGATGTTGTTTCGTTCTTCTTCTGCTAAGAAAATGGTATCCATTTCGGTAACTTCTATTGATTTGTTGAGCTTGGACTTCGTCTGAGTCGTGCCGTTGAAGATGCGAATCAACGGGAGAACAAAACGTGGTGTCACTCTCGGCGAAGAAGACAACCACTTCCCCCTTTTGACGACTCTAATGACGATAGAAGTGGTAACAAGAAGTGCGACGGGGAACGACAAAAGATTGCATGCAGAAAGAAATCTTTTCTCGGTTCAGTACCGTCCTGTACTGGTGCGTACTAGGTACGATACTCGAAGTCGTACCATAAACGGCTACATTCGTCGCWTTGTCTTCGATCGCCGTATTCCCGGTAATGGTATCAGTGGTACGTACGTAACACGGTAGGGCATCGATAGATATTTATTCAGTCTTGAAACTACGACTAAGGTACGTACGTACCATCCTAGCTAAAGTACCGTATTTATTACTTCTACTTATTTTTTCGAAAAGCACCAGATACGTACGTACGGTACGTATGGATTATTTGTTCCTACCAACAAAACCATGGGTTACTTTTGGGTTATTTGAAATGTGGGGTATGACCACAAATATTGGTAATTTTTAAAATGTGGGTTATCACCAAAGCTGTGAGCTACTTTTCATGAAAAATAACCAATAATTTTAGAAATGGATTATTTTTGATGATACCCCGCAAAATCTTGCCCCCAAATGTGGATTTTGAAAATGGAGTCGCGATTCACGCATTTCCCAGTCCAGTACGAKGAATCGTACCGTACTAAGTACTTATGAACCGGAGGTACCGTACGTACGACACTTACTGTATTGCTTGTCATTTTACTTCTAATTCCTTCCGTATCGGGCTTCGGRCCGACGACATTCCGACGCGATATACACGACTTACGTTGGAGCTCCAACGGTCGCACAGTCCATGTTGGAACGAGCGAGCAGAGTTCCAAGGTGCTKTTGTTTCTCGTGTTTTCAGTCACACAAAACGCGTTATCCAATATGTCCCGTGCCGTCAATATKATGGAACCATGACTTTTCTGGCTAAGCATCATTTCGACGAAATTGAGACGAGGAATCGATTACTACTGCTCGTACAAAACCAACTGAGCGGAAACAAGAAAAAAACACACGATCGAACGACCCCACGTTTTACRAAGGACTCTGTTGGCACTCAAGTTTGTACTCGTACGCATTGTCATTGAATCCCATACAATCAGCTTCCGACTCTCACGTCATTTCTGCTAATTCAACCCAATAAATTTAACAAAGATATTATCCACGATTAGACCAAGAACAGGAACGACTTCTACACTGTACTCGATACCGAAATCGCGAGAAGTTGAGATCTGATAACGCACAACAACTGTTCTATACTTGCCAATACCAAGGGGATTATCAAGTTGCATCGCATCCCATTTCATCAAAGCTAACACATCACATCACATCACATCACATTTCATCACGACAATAAATCACATCGCAACATGCCGAGGAAAGAAAGAGGATGCAGCATCTGCCGCATGTTAAGTTGCCTCCTCACACTGGGTTTGATCGGGGCTGGGGGATACGCCGCTTGGTTTTTCCTGGGCCAGCCGTCGAAGGATGAACTCCTCGACTACGCCAAGGATTTTGGAGACAAAATTAAAAACATCGACTTTGGYGACTTTACCGACGTCCTCCAGAATTTTACCGGATTCACTCCCGAATTGTGGGACGAGGACCCCTTTGTAGGAGACAACACGACTAATGTTTGGGAAGGTCAYACCTCTGGTGAGGGTGGCCTAACCCTAGAACTGTGGAACGCCCTCGATGACACCTGGCAAGCGGAATACGTTGAGGCYRTSGCCGATTGGAATGAATATTGCGATCCGAAGGTGCTCCTTTTGACAAGTGAGGACGTAGAAGTTGACCGCGAGTGTACCCAGGAAAACGGTGTCATGAAGGTGTGCAACGGTGAGTTTTGAACGACGCAGATGAATTTTCATGCGTGTTCAGATCAATCCTTTCTATTCTATRGATTCTTTCCCGAAGTTTCACCTTTCTTCGACTCATTCGCTTTGCTTGTTTTTTTTTCGCAGGAAATTATGGCGAAACAGGATGGTTGGGAATCAACGAAGTTCTGAAAACTGTTCCCCAGGGAATAATCCAATCGAGTGTAGCTAAAATGAACGAACACTACCTCCTAAATGCCGACTACGACGAGCGATTGTACACAATGTGTCACGAGGTGGGCCACGGTTTCGGGTTGCCCCACACCGACGAGAATTTCAACAACAAGGATCTAGGGAACTGCTTAGATTATACGAACACACCGAAGAACAATCTGCGCCCAGGGGCTGCCAACTGCAACCGCCTWTTGGAAATGTACGGGAATATCGACGGCACCGTCGACCTAGACCTAGATGTCCGACGCCGAARAGTCAGCCAAAAAAGGGCGCAGCGGGGCCTCCGCTACCGATCAGATGCAGAAATCTATGAAGACGAGACCCGCGACTCTGAAGTTGTGAACGACGATTCTCAGTATTACTACATGTACGGTCGCTCCGAGTATCCCGATATGACAGCTGAATACGAAAGTGCCATGAAGGAATTGTATTACGAGATTGAGCAGGGCATATTTTCAGATAGACAACAACAGGAAGAAGYGCTGTYGTACGAGGAGGAAAATGGCGGCATTTCGATCGATAACCGCGACAAWAGAGGAAGAGGAAAATGGAGGAGACTTCRAGAACATTCTCGAGGTGGTGATTTTGTTCGACGATTAAACGACGGGTTCGCTCTGGAGGTTCAYGTCCTATACGCAAACAATAGAAAATAAAACGACAGGATGGAATCCTCTGTTTKTTGGCCTGCGTTTGCAATGTGYAGAARAAGCATGGCCACGGACATGCACAAGAAAATCGAATAGAATCAAGCTGGGTGAAGACTTCTGATTGAAGTCGTCTTGTACAATATAATTGAACGCCTTTACGACTCAACCAGCTCAACCTTGCGAGAATGGTTGATCAACAACAACACGTAGGTCGTGACTCAATAAGAGGTTTTTCATACAGCGTCTGGTTGGTTGAAATATATGCAATTTTCACATATTATGAAAACAAAACGTTTCATCAATAAAGAATAAAAACTCTGTACATTAACAATCTGCAGCCCTTGCGTTCTTCATGACCACAACTTCTTGATTTCAACTTTGTAGATGCAATAATTTTCTGGGAGTCTCAGTGTTTGATGATGGGGAACAACCTTCGGGGTTCGTTTATTTTTCGATGGCCATTCAGTACCGGGAACATTCGRTATGCGACTTCTACTAGTAGTGCATAATACTACCATATCAATGAATCAAATACGCATTTCGTAGTCGGGAGGTAAGGCGATTTGGTATCCGTAAAATTTGGGTAAGAATCGATCGGAGCCTTCAAAAATCCATGTGAATTGAAATTGAATCTATTCCTCCCATCATCCGACCGTCGTACCTATGAAAATAATACTACCATMGCTTTTTTAACCGCAATCCAAATTTTCATTCCGAAACCAATTACTTCTAGTATGATAGATGTTGCCGTATTAGCTAGAAGTACCATACACCGTCAGGTAGATTATTACTTTTCTCCTAGTAGTATTTGTGTGTGTGTCGTCCGTCCGTCCATCAGTCAACTGTTTTTCGCTGTATATTTTGGCTATCAACGGATGTCTCAGTAAGTCGTGATGGATTGAAAACACTTCTCTCTGAAATGACAATGAGAGAGGCTTATCAATTATTGAGTCAACTTTTGACGAAACCGAACCAAACGTGAAAGAAGTCACTTCTTATTTCCGTGTTTTCGTGCACCTGTGACAAGAAGTATGTACTTTCTTTGTTTTGGTGCACCTGTCAAGAAAGCATCTACTTTCAACGGCAGGACGGTCCGCAAAGGCAAGGCGTCGTGCATYGATCGGATCTTCTTCTTAACTTGGAAAGGTGTGAAGATTGCAAAGTYCAAATACTTGCAAGAAGCCTTCTTATATATTCATTTTCACATCGATTGCAATACTAGTTCGCTTGCTTCTAGCAGACTTTCGTTCGCGTTCCATCATGATGAAAATTAGCGCCTCTCTTATCTTTTTCCTTCTAAGCGYGGAAARTGCTGCGGCATCTTTTATGTTCAGCTTCACGAACCTGTTGTTCATGCTGCACGCCAGCGATAAACCACCTGATTGTAATGGGCCTCTGAGACCCAAACATTTTTGCGACAAYATTTGCCCTGAAACAGTTTCGTCTTCCAGGAGACAATTGCAACCATATCACGACTATAACTGGACAGCATCTGCTTGCGAATACATCCACCACAACCCTTGGTACAGCAAATGTCTTGAAGGATCTTTAACAAGTTGCGACGATGTGGATGCGAATGCGACTTATGTTGCCGCTGATGCTTATGTCGACGCTGCTACTTATTCAGACGAAACCAGTATCCAAGGTGGCATTGTAAGCATGTCAAAAACATCCTTCCTTCCTTACATCATCGCTGCTACTGTCGCTACAATGTTCCTCGCACTTTATATCTGGAAGAAGAAAGTAAGTAATGATCGCGATTCAAATACYAAGCAGATCTTTATTTCATTTGTATTTATCATGATATTGTGGTTTCGTACCAAAATTTCACTTTTGTAGACTTGAAAAAAATTGTCAAGGATTCTAACTCACTGAGCTCTTTTTTTGTTTTTTGTTTTCGACCTTTTAAAAAAATCCAGCGCGAGGAGMAAGAACTCCTAAACGAGAGTCTCATGGACGACGAAGAAAGCTTCCACGGTTCGGTTGCTCGACGCATCGGTGAGAGAAGAATTGCCGAAGCTACTGCTTCCGCTGCAGCAGAGCCTATTCCTGAAGTTCAATTTGTGAGCACCACGGGCTATGCAATGGCGTAAGCAGCGCACTACTCACCTCACTAGTGAGAGGTGAGACGAGAACCATACAATAGAACGAAAAAAGAGATCGAGCGGTCATTATTCACGAGCCAGAGGATTCCACGAAAGGTGCAAGTCTTTTTTCATTGTGTACACCAGTAATTTACGTTCAATGMCAATATAACATAATAAAAATTATTCAAGACATGGTCTTCCATGTGWTTTTGATTCAAAGTTTTAGACGTTTCACATGTCTCAATGTTTTCGGGATGTTTTCTTTGCGATTTGTCATTCATCTATCACCGCGATGAACCCAAACAACAATGTTGCTCTCGTTTTGCTAACGATGGGTATCATACGATCTGCACATCATTTGTTTCTTCTCTGGTACTGAAGATTGCTTACTATGGTTCAACCTACAGGTTCGTGCGATGATCGAAGAGGATTGAGACGGACCAGGTGGTTTGAAGAAATAATTCTTGCATGGATAGACGAATGGACTGAGCGCAAAACATCTGGTGATGATCATAGTTGAGGCAATAAGGGTTAGGTGTTGATAGTGTTCCCATTCAATTTTTCGAATGTAGTGCATAACTTCCGAAAGCAAACTGTAGCAGGTATACTCAGGATGGGAATCCTTCAATAGTTCCTTAGAGTATGGGTTAATAATGAGTATCATTGCATTTGCCTTTCTGTACCGTATGTTTTAGTTTTTAAAGGCACTGGGGTACATCAGACGGCCGATCTTTTCACGAAGAAGATCCATAATGAAGACGGCGCAAACCATGCGGCCGTAACGGAAGGTAGCCCCGCGGTAGAATCCCGTAAAGCCGGATTCGGCATTGATCGACTTGGCAGTGTCAATGAAATTTCCGTAKACCTTGCGCTCAATGTCACCCTGCATGCACGTCTTAATGGTGTCGAAGGGATGGGTCATGTAGCAGCCGAACAATCCACCCAAAAGGGCAGCAGGGATTCTGGCCTTGTCGTTCGTGTCAAAGGTCGTGGGGTAGGWGTCCATGAGGGTTCGGCGGACGACMGGGGGGATGCTGAGGTACCCGCATGTCCACAGAGCCTCGCGGACCGCCATACCGAAAAGACCCCTCGAAAAGTTAATAGGGTTCTGTGCAAGTTCCGAAATGCGTGCCGCTCCGCTCCCACCCTTGCGCTGTTGCTGGATCATGATCAATTCGAGGGGGGAACCCACCAGCGCCGAGACCGATCCAGCCACGATTCCGCACTTCATCTCTTCCTGCAGCGAAAATTGGTGCTTGTCATTTCCGCCCGAGACTATGTTTTTGAGTTTTCCACCCACAACGAACTGAATCATAGTGCAGGATCCCATGTTGATACAATTTGGGACTACACCGCGGTACATAGTTRCCGGGTTCATTGAGATCGGACGTTGTTGTTGGACCATATTTTTAGCATAATTGAAGGGTTGCAAGATCAAAACCTGTGTTGTATTGCATTGTGTTGMATTGYGGATCATGTTTTGTTTCGATTTGTATCATTGTTGTTGTYGTTGCATTTTGTCATCGATTTAAGGCCGGCATGACACCGCATCGCGTTTCAAATTGTGGACGAGAWATAGACGACGGTAAAATGATTCATGGCAGAATCAGAAAWTTT